CACTCTGTCCAAGAAAACTTCTCATATTTCTTCCCAGCAGAATTTCTGTCTCCTTTCTACAACCCTCTGTTTGCACTTCAACTATAATACATATATAACACAGATCTTCCTTGAAATACTGGCAGTTATGCACGCAGTTGCTCCCACTTAATTTTCCCCAATTCTGTCCCCCTCAGCCCATTTCACTTCCTGAGCCAGTCTTAACAGAGGCAGGAAGTACCTTTCCGTTGTTTCAACAGGGCATTTGATTGGCCTCAGAGTTATTGTGGCATGTCAACTGCAGAACAGGTTCCCAAGTTATACACCTCCCACCTCTTCCCTTCCCTTGGCCAACCCGTGTGCCCATGTTCTCACAACCTGATTTTTATACTTGAGCTTCTGAGACCAGTTCTGCCACAATAACACCTCTCCCCCTAGGGTTTCCAGATAAAATATGAGACAACAATCTTTTAGCGTAACTATGTCCCGTGCCACATTTGGGACATACTTACACTAAAAATTATTAACCATTTATTTGAAAATTCAAATTTAACTAGACATTCTGTATATTTAACTACTAAAGACAGCCTATGCCCCAGCATGACGCGATTGAATAACCTGCCTAAGATCACTGTGTCCTACTCCTGTCTGTCTCCTGCACTGGGGACTACAGCCTGCCCCTGAAACTCAAGGCCCCCATCCACAGGCCAGAGCCCCTCCTTTCACATTTTAATTGCAAGTCTGGCTGGGTTCCTCAGAACCGTTTATTCTGCCCTCTGGTCTAAATCTCTACTGGAAGCTCAGCTCAAAGCTTGTCCAGCCCAGTGGACATGTCTGATGTCAACCTGTCCCCTCAGCTGAGTCTTCTCTTCCTTCCAAAAAAGCTTGACTTGCTGATCACTCCCAGGCTTAGCTGAAATGCTCAGCTACTTCCAATCAGATTGTGATCCCAAAGGGAAGGAATAATTGCTCAATAATGACATCCAGCATGGTGTTTTGCACATCACTGTTGCTTAATAAATGACAGTTGACCTCAAATTGAAAGACAGTAACCCAAAGGATCAGATTGGGGTTACAATCCAAACCACAAATCCAAACCCCAAAGAATTTCCAAAAATGGGAGTAGAAACAACAAGGGTCTTAAAAGAGACCACAATACTTTGAGTTCAACAAAAATGGGTGAACACAAGACTATGCAACTATAACTAACTGCCTCTTTGTATGTTTCATCCCCAAATTTTTGCAAAGAGAAATAAAATAATTTGTGTTCCTTTAAAAGTCCAAACTGTGTGATTAGAACTGCAGGAGTACTCTGAGGCAGAGGCTCGGCAGAAGAAAAGACAAAAAGTCCCTCAGAAATCCTCTGTTCCCCACACCGAGGTTGGATCAGGAGACCAAGGCCCATAGTCACAGAGACTGGCCTGAAAGGCTCGACTGGAGGACTGCCTCGGATTGTGCGGCCCCATG